TATATATATATATATATATATGTGTGGAAATATTTAAGCTGTGTGTTAATATTTAAGGACAAAACACATACTGAATTCATCTAATTTCCTGTTTGGGTTGCTCAAAAAAAAAAAAAACTTGGGTTACACAAAAACTGCCTAAAAATGACACACTACTATTTGGCTAGAAAATATACAGTCCAAAATAATTTGTATTTTTTAGAGTACAGATTCACACTTGATATGGCGAGTTGAGCGGACGTTAAATGTAAGCCAGGTTATTAAAAAAAAGAAGATGCTTCAAGAATCACTTTCCTTTTTAATTAGGTGTTCAACCCTCTTTGTGATGTGAAAAATATCAAGTATTTCATTAATATACATAAATATCATTAATATAAATAAATGTCAAAACATGCACTATTTTTCAAACATCTGCGGTCAGTAAAAAATTTGTAAGAAATTAATACTTTTATTTTATTGATCAAAGGTGTCAGTAAAGGCATTTATAATATGTTTCTTTTAAATAAATGCTTCATATTCATGATCCTGAAAAGCACAACTGTTTTCAACTTTGCAAATCAGCATATTAGAATGATTTCTGAAGGATAAAAAATTCTGGATTAATGATGCTGAGAAATCAGCTTGACATCACTGGAATAAATGACATTTGAACATATATTAAAAGTAGAAAACAGTAAATTCAAATTGTAATAATATTTCATAATTTTACTGTATTTTGATCAAATAAATACAGCCCCCATTTAAAACTTTATGGTTTATGTCATATATTTAAAAATATTTACAACTATTAATTTTACAATTGGTGCCACATAAATACACCAACACACATGGATAGCTAAAAAAAAACTGTTTTACTTATACTTTGTTACATTGTGATGACTTTGATTTTGGTTAAGGGTAGTTAATAATTCATACCAGTTAAAACTGTATTTTTTATCAAATAAATGCAGTTGAATGGTAGTGTAATGTTCATTATGCCTTGACAAACTGACGATAACCCAAAGATTTTGGAACTGTTACATGAGTGACGATACACCACTTCTGTTAATCTGTTAAAATTGTTTTCTTTTTAAGAACTGGCTTGCTGAATTTGGTAACACCAAATACGTAACAGAGCTACCAGGGCTGGCGTAAACACTACAAAGCTTTCTTTAGCTGTACAAACAGTTTCTGCGTAAGCATTGGGAGCTGCGCTGTGAGTAGGCTATTAGCACACAGACTCTTAGGAGATTGCTGCAGCTTCACCTGGCACATGCGCACATCACTATCCCTCTAAAGACGGGACACTTTAGCAGATCGGGGCGGGCCGGGACAAAGAGAGGGACGGGGGGAGGGTTAAAGAATAGGAGGTAGTGTGATAGGACTCAAACACTTCAGACCGTAGAAGAGAGCGGCCGGACAAATCCACTGAGGGAAAGACAGCAGTGTCCTAAAACTCTGAAGTGAGGGAAAACTAAGAGCTGAAGAGGCTGCGTTAGTATTTCAGACCGCACTGTCCTCCAGCCGTCAGAAGTGTGCGTGTGTCAGACCATGGCACCGCAGGTCGTCAGCTCACCCTTCCTGAAGCCATTCTTTCTGAAGACACCGCTAAGCGTTGCCAGTTCTCGACGGCAGCGACGACACACGTTACCTGCCAGCGAGTTTCGAAATCTCACCCCACAGGATGCCATTAGTGTGTTTGAGATAGAGAGAGAAGGTAAGATGTTTCACGCACACATGGTGGGGTTATATTGGGATTTACCAAAATACAGTGGCAGAGTTACCTATTGATTGCGCAGTCAGTGTTAATAATGTGAAACATGTTTTTAGATAAAAACACTCTTTTTGTGTTAGTTGTCCCGAGTGAATGTACCGTAGTTTAAGCAGCTCTTACACACTTGATCCCTGCGGAAGGCATTTCTCTAGGAAATCTGGTGGTTGGGTTGCTTAATTATATAACTTATTTTAGCTATCTATCTACTTTCTTTTTTTAAAATTTCATTTTCTAAAATGTTTTGGCAATATGTACTAAAATACACTACCTTTTTGGGGTCAGCAAAAAAAAAATTTTTAATAGAAAAAAATACTTTTTTTCATCAAGGATGCATTAATTATAGTAAAGACATTTAAAATATTACAACATATTTATATTTTAAATAAATGTTGTAATTTCGAACTTTCTTTTCATCAAAGAAGTCAGAAAAATTTTATCATTTTCCACCAAAATATTAAGCAGCACAACATTGATAATAATAAGAAATGTTTCTTGAGCAGCAAATTATATTAATAGCATATTAGATTAATAAATGATAGATCATGTGACACTGAAGACTGCAGTAATGATGCTGAAAATTCAGCTTTTCCATCACAGAAATAAAATGTAAAAATATATCTTAGTAGAAAACACTTATTTTAAATTGTAATAATATTTCACAATATTATTTCAATTTAAAATAAAATAAGTCATAATAGGATTTTTTTTTTAATTGAAAAAATGCAGCTTGGTGAGCAAAAGAAACTTCTTTCAAAAAAATCATTCAAACCCCCAAACGTTTGATTGAAAGGCAGTGTATGTCATACCAATAAAGCAAAATTAATTTCAATTTAAAAAAAGAAAATTGGTTTTAGTCTGGAAAATTGGCTATTGGGTATTTTACAATTAGTGCCTCATAGATTACTGTAAAAACACACCAACAAACATCTGGATAGGCAACAAATGGTTTTATT